ACCTCACTCAGAGCTTGCTCATTTCAGATTTACGTCAACATTCGAACAGCTCGTCCAAGCAGGAGATACACAGCCTCAGGTAGAGTTTTATTAAAAACAGACACAGCTGCTGGGATTTAGCACAGACTTGTTTATTTATTTGTTTATTTGTTTATTTATTTTCTCTGGCTTTAACCTTTTGCCCTTCAACAAGTCAGGGGTTGCAACTGCCAGAGGAAACGCATCTGAATCCCATAAAGCTGCAGCTTTTAAACATGTTTGAGAGTCCGACGAATCGCGGAGATTAAAAAATAATTTCATGAATTATTTATTTGTGTTTGATCGTTTTATTTTCCCACATCAGAACAGAATAATATCGCTCCAAAGGTTTTAGCTACTCCACTAAAAACAGGGTTTTCGTATTTTGGAATCCAACGTTCACTCGTCTTCCGTGACCAGGTTTCACCCTCAGCTTCCAGCTCTGGCTCAGATTTACACTCAGAGAATAAAAATCTTTTTCATGTGGAAAAGATTAGCTTGCAAATCCTGAAGTTACCGGTAAAAACCAGCGGGTGGCGCTGCAACAAAGAGCCTGACCTCTGAGGGTAGCACAGTTAAGTTACTGATTTATAAGTCTTTTTCAGTTCAGTGAAAACAAAGTCGATGATAAATAGGATTTGAATGCATTTCCTGCCTTTTCCACTCCTCCTCTTCTCAGCTCTCTGAAGTTATCAGAAAATCCAACTTTTTTTTTTGTGTAAAACCGATGAAATCAAACCACACAATCAACCAGAAGATGATTCACTGAATAGTTTGGCTGTGCCGCTACCTAAAAAGGATCCAAGAAAAAGAGTCTTTGCTTTGAAAACTCCTACCAGATGGAGCGGATGAGCTTCAGTGTGGGTTTCTTTATGTAGCCCACTTTACTGCGCTGCAAATCACCAAACGTGGACCACTTAATGCTCAGATGTAAGCCGTCTCGAAGAACAATATTGTTACCAGTGAAATACGACTTGATTCTCCCACTACAGATAAAACTCTTCCCCTTTCAGGCTCTCTTGCAGCTCCACGGAGCGTAGATCGTGGATCATCCGGACAAGGGGTGCAAAAGAAAAGAGAGAGAATTCCACGATCTGCCTCTGCGGCCCCCCCGATAATCTCCCCGCCTGTGTTCGCCTCCACGAGAAGTCATGCATCTTCTTTTGTGTGGCTTCCTCGCTCATGTAAACTGCTTCTGGTTGAGGTGCGGCCTGCAGCCCCCACCCCCCCGCCTCCTCTGCAGTTCAACAAAGACAAAAGGCCTCTCTGCTGCCGCCCGTACCCACAGCTGTGATATGGCTCAGCGTGTGTTTACCGTGTGGGACCCGCTGAGCCGTGTCGGGATTATTTGGATCACTGTGGCGTTTCTCGCACGATGACAATCTGATAGGAATAACGAGCCTTCCCTCTGGCCTCTGAGCCGGAGGAAAGGTCACAGACGTCTCTGGGAGCAGTTTGTTTGAATCCGTTGACTGATTTATGAGACAACTGGCCGAGCCCGAAGTTTTGAAGACATCAGCTGCAGCTGAGTGTACGTGTTGGGGTTGAGTCTCAGCTACTACCACGCTGAATCTGAACTCTTTCTTTAAAACGGAATGAAATCTAACTATTTTTTTATGTTTAACAAGCTGTGGTGGGCATTATGAGCCAGGTTGACTCAAGAAATTGATCGGTTGTAGAAATATATTACTAGTAAACTCTGTAGTGGTTCAATGTACGTGTTACTTCTATTTTTCTGTCTGTACTCAACCAAAACTTGGTAATTTAACTTTCAAATGTCATTTCATTAAGTCTTGAAACTACCATCAACACCTAGATTACTACTTTGCCTCATCTGGATTGTTTGTACTACTCATTGTCTAAATCTGTTTAATGCTACTGTATTTTATGTATATTTTTCTTTTCTACAATGTAACTTTTGTGTCAACTACCCTGTGACGTGTGCTGCTGACCTCTTGACCAGGTCACCCTTGGAAAAGAGATCTTGATCTCAATGGGCTCTATCTGGTTAAGTAAATAAAGGAAAAAAAATTGATGAGATATTCTGCTAACACAACAGACAAATGAATGCACACTTGTACGTACATGTACACACAGCAAACACTAATTAATCCTTATTTGTCCATTGGCTGCAGCCAACTGTGATTGACAGAAGAGCCGACCAATGATCTCCATGAACACAAACACATATTTGTTTTTCTATCCTCGTGGGGACTTTCCTTTGACTTCCATTCATTTTTTTAGTCATTAAACCCCTTACCCCAGTCCCTACCTAACCCTAAAGACCTCCACAAACTCCCTCTGGAGTTTAACTGTCAACGCGCGGTCATGTGGTTGTTTGGTGTTCGCTGTCATAGCTCCTGAGACTCACTGTGCCCAGCTCCTGGGAAACCCCTTCCCCTTGAGGTATACATCACTGCATGGGGTTTCTTCATGCTGGAGTCTACACTCAAGGAAAAAAAAGAACTCTGAAATCCACTGTTATTTGTCCACAAATCTGTCCCAATTAAAGTGACACACTGCATGAACAAAGTCTGGGTTATTTCCATTCATGAGTTTTGGGACATTTTGTTATCTTTATAAATGTGTGTTTTAGGTACAACAGTTGGATTCTGGAAACTAGTAGCTGAAGCAAAATAAGCACCCGAGTGCTTTCAGCAGTGGTGGGCAGCGCTAATTTAAGTTTTAGTTCCGCAATTTTTAAAGCGCTAGTCAATTTATTTAGGTCCGCAAATTCAAAAGCACATATGCTTAATAAAACTTAGCGGAAGCTAATATAAAGCGCAACATAATCTTTGTTTTCCAGAAAATATTCAGGTAAGAGAAAAGTCAGCACTTTACTGCCATCTAGTGGTAAGATAATATTATTTAACAGATTGGCACATCATCGCAGAATGGGGAGGTGATTCATTGAAACAGACTTTTGAATTATGGTTGTAAAACAAAAAATAGTTGTGGATTGCTAGTTCTGCTGCTTCTTGGTCATTTTCTTTTGTTTATGGCAGAGCTTCAGTAAGAAAACATGCAGATATATTAATAAATTCAAACTGTTATAAAACAGAAGCAACACATTGTGGGAAGGCTACAGGACACAGAATAGGAACTCCGTTCTTTTCAAAATAAGAGCGTGAATTTAAACTGTTCCATGTTTCTCTCTTTACTATTATTTATTTATTTAATATTTATTGCAGCTATGTTCCTCAGAGAGAGGAGGTATAAACTGCACAGCTGAGCGTGTTTCTGCAGATCAGAACTGCAGTTAGATTGTCACCCAGTGAAGAAATCGTTTGCTTTCTGCCACGCAAAGAATTGTGGGAGAGAAAACCTGACTGAGGAGGGTCACTGTTAAGTAGAGACGGCTTTCCCCTCCAATGTTCAAGAAAATGATGACGAAGTTATAATAAATTATGTGGCTACAGAAAGTAGTGAGACTAGATGGCTTTTTAGCTTTGCTGTAGATGAAATTGATGTTTGAATGTGAAACATTATTGGTGATTAGCGCTACTCAATTCTAAATTTATAAAGAGCAAATCAGCACATCATTTTATGAAATTAGTAAATCCCCTAAAGCGCAAAAGAGAAATTTAGGTCTGCAATTAGTGGATTCTCGCTTTAGGGGACTAGTGCCCGCCAATGGCTTTCAGCATAAACAAACAAGCTCACGGACCTCCGACCAACTTCTGAAAAATTTTCACGGACGGTTGTGACAAGAAGGGGCAGAAAACTTGAAGCTGTGACAACGAGTTGTTTGACAGTTTGAATATAGTATGTCCCAGCCTTGCTATGTTGCCATCAGCTTTTTAAATTCTATTTAGTTACCATAGTTTCAATATTGATTATTCTTTTAACATTTTATGTCTTATCAAAAATTTAATCTCATTTTATCTTGTTTTAATGTGTTTTATCTAAGATTTATATGGTCCTACCTGATTTTTATCTTGTCTTATCTTACCCTGATATTGTTTTATATTGTTCTACTGTATGTCTCATGTCTTCTGGAACGAAGCTGACCCACTTTCACTGTAATCAAATTTACCTGCAGGTACAAATAAAGTTGAATGGTTGTATGTGGAAGCATTAAAATTAACCCTCCCCACCCAAAACCAGCCTTTAAACTCATGGGAACCAGGCAGTGGGTCCTCACAAGGCTGTGTGTACAAGGAAAATGATCAACACACACACACACACACACACACACACTCCAGTACAAACTCAAACCAGGGTGGAGGAGTTCAATCTGGAAATCAAACCTCCTGATTTTATCACCTCGACTCAGGAAATTTATCTGTGTGCTGCACGGCTGTAAAAATATTTCACTTGGGAGGAGGAAACAAAGACACAACACAGACCGCAGCTTTATCAGGAGGAGCACCTGAGAATCGACACAAACCCCCAGAGCAACAACGTCTCTTTGTGCTACGCCCGATGAACGCTTAAAACCCAAAACTCAGGAACGTTTCTTGATCTGCGCACGTGCGTCAGCGAAAATCTGAGCCCGCCTTTTTTTAATCGAGGGACACGAGAAACCACCTAAGAGGAAGGGGAACTGGGTGGGGGGCGGAAAACAGAAAAGGGAGTTGGAAATCTTTGGTTTGTTTTATTTGTTTCAAGCCGCCTCACCTCTCCGGCTACAAAGAACAGCAGCGGCGTCTCCTCCTCCTTGGCCTTATACTTGGCCATGAGCTTCTCCGCTATTGGCTGAATCAGCTCCTTGGCCGGCTCCAGCTCACCTTCCTCCTCAGCATCTGAAGAAATCCAGAGGAGAACAGTTAGAGGATGGAGTTTTGAAGTGTGAAACAGACGGACTCACTCAGTTTTTGTTTCACCTAAAGCGACACCAGAGGGCTCTCACTGTGAAGATCAACTCTGTGCATCTTCCCTTTTCTTCTTCCTTTTATATCCTCATAAAATCTGCTCTGCATTCCTGTCCTTGCTTCCACTATGCTGGGACGCACACGTGTAACTCAAAAGGTTGAAGCTTTTCTCACACTTTCAGGGTCCTCCACGTAATAAATGTCACTGTATTCTGTCAGAGCCCCACCTGAAGCCCTCATAAAAGCCGACTCACCCACAAACAGGACGAGGCAGGGCCCCTCGTGGAGCTGCGCGGCGTTGGACTCGTTGAGCTCCAGCACGGGCCGCGGGTGCCACGGGAAGAGCCGGCACTCGGGGTCGTTCAGCACCTCCACCCGGCCCTGTCGCGTGATCACGTGACCCTCCGAGTCCAACAAGATCAGCGTGGGAATACCTGCGGGGCAGGGAGGGGAAAAGAAAGTGACGCGAGTGGAAAGGTAAACAGAGGGGCGGGAGGAAACCAATGAGAGTGTGGGAGTTTAACTCGGGTCATTTCCGTCAATTATCCCTTCACGGTGCAGACGTTTCCCCTCTCCCGCTGAGACTTTAAAGTGTTTGTGGAGATTTTTGCCCCTCTTCAGACCCGTTTCACTTCTGTTCTAACCACTAACTGAACCTCCTCTAACCGTTAAACTTATCGAGTAGACTCAGAGGTCCGACTGAGTCAGCGCCTGCACATGTGCACTGAGCTCAGCTGCAGCGAACGACCCATCCTCCCTGCATTCCTCACATTCCTCCCAGGATAAACCTAGAAGCCAGCTCCGGCTGACCTCATCATCAACAGGCCTCCGAAACGCAGGGGGTGGAAGAGACAAGGCTCTGAAGCAGAGACGCTGCACTTCCGCACTCAGCTAGACGGTTCACTCGATAACTAATCCACATTCCTCGGGCCGGAGGGCAAATCTGTGCCGCTCCGCAGCCTCTGCGTTCAGCTTCATGACGCGACTCAAACTGGTAACATGAAAAAAACAAAAGCCCAGCTGAGACGTCCGAGGTGTGAAGGTACCTTGTATTCCATAAAGTCTGTTGAGTCGTGACCTCCGAGCCTCGTCTGAATACGGCACGGCCAGCCACGGCATCTCGCTGAAGTACTGCTGAAAGGACTCCTCCGACCTGGACGGAACCAAAAATAAGAATCGGAACGTGTCGATTCGGATCAAAGCACAGAGAAAAATTATGATTTGCGTCTCATTTCCTGATCTGAACTTTACCTGTCAGCGCTGACGAACACGATCTCAAACTTATGGCCCATTTCTTTGACGATTCGATAGGATTCTACCAGAACCCGGGTCAAACTGCGACACGGTGGACACTGCAGGAGAGGAACAGAAAGGATTGGGAATTATTTCCCAGATCTCTCCCACCGTTTGTCACTAAACACATTTCCAGCAGCTGCTAATCGGTTGTTGTTTTGTATCCATATTCCTAAAAAAAAGTAATAATCCTTCCACAATACTCTAGATTAGGGAAATGTTTGCTCTGCTGTGTGTGTGTGTGTGTGTGTGTGTGTGTGTGTGTGTGTGTGTGTGTGTGTGTGTAGAGGGTGGCATTAGGATGACATCAGTGTGTCGAGGCAGCAGGAAGGAAAACAGACCAGCCTTAAAGTTCAGTGGTTCCCATGCTCTCAGACTTCCTTCCCTTAGGTTATCTTGAACAAAAAGTAAAATACAACAACAACAAAAAACATTGATAATTTAGTTAAAACAATTAGGAAAACTAATGTAATTCAGTTTGTTGTCCCATAGACATTTTCATAGTATGTTTAAATACTTCAATCTGCTTTTATCAAGATTTCCCGGTCTGCATCATAGTAATTGAAATACCTTTTAAAGCGCATATAACCTCACTTTTTTACACATTTTTACTTTTAAAATGATGATGGCGACATATAGTAATACTCATTTCCATGTCAAGAACTGAGAAATACTGTATGTCAATAAATGAAGTAATGATGAGTAAAAGAACAAGGCAGCTAAAAACAATGTGGAAGATAAGATTTTAGATTACATTAGGATGACATGAGATGGTCATAATTTTAGAAAATGTTAATTTTTGTGGCAGAGGGACTTCAGAATAGAAAATACAAAAAGGAAAAAAGGATGGATGTCCTATCAGAGAGTGGTAAATATGGATTATTATTATACTCTGACTAGACTGCATGTGGAATGTTCTCTTATTTCAGGTTTTTGGACTAAAATCTTAGAGGTTTTGAAGGCCTGGTCCTGCTCGACCATCCCTCAGACTTCAGATTTGTGTTTACTGGGAGACCGATTGTTATGGTCGGTCTTGTGACAACATTCAGGATCCTACTGAGACAGTGGAAGACCACAGAGTGGATGGGGCTGGGTGCATAAGCCTTTACATTTGTTTATGCTTTTCATTCTTTTGTTTAATATTTTCTTATGTTCTAAAATCAATAAAAAGCTTTAATTAAAAAAAGAATAAGGCTTCATTGTTGATATGAACCTGCAGCACAGAAAACAAATATTGAGGGAAGTGAAAGAAAATCTGCAGCTCAAACATGAGTTAATCTGATATTAATACACCGAATTCCCAATAGACACTTTTCATTAAATAATTGACTGTTTTTCTGTTAGAAAGAAAAAGAAAAGTCTCAAATTTACAGAAAAGAGGCTGATTATGACTTTAAGACTGTTCAGATTGCATTTAATGTACGCCTGCTCCTCAGTGAGCTAAAAAGTGCATTTAAAAAAAACTAATCTGCTTTGAAAACAGTGAATAACTAATTAATGTTATTACTATCCAGATTTGTAGACTTTCTGGCACTAAAACATGACGTTACGTGCCCTTTAAAACTATAATAGCGGGTTTGTCAAACACCATAAAGGAGTGGAAACAAATCAGCACAACACCGATAATATCACTTTATTAAAAGGAGCAGATCTGAAAGTGCTCAACAGTTGTCCTGCTGAAACCAACCTGTTCAGGTTTTAACAGCCTAATAATATTTTAATTAGATGGTTCATTGTAATTCCTGCTTCTTAAAGTGGACACATCTGGTGTGATTGATCCGTGAACACAGAGACGACAGCGTGAAGCAGTAAAGCCTTGATCGCTTCACCTCTAATTAAATACTTCATATTGTGTTTTCTGCTCGCTGCTCAGCGTGGCGTCTGTGCGATTGTCTTATCAAACCTTTTACTGTGTTTTTGTTGTTGTTAATTACCAATGAAGTGACTAAAGGACGATCGTAACAAGCTTTTGTGAAAGTAAACAGAACTTCGCCCGAGTGTTTTTCTGCCACCAACCCTTTCCACAAACAAAGAGGAAAATGACAGTGGAGGTGCTGTATTTTTACGTTTCATGAAATGCCGTTAATAACAAGCAGATGTGGCTGAATACCGAAGAGGATTGTGGTGCAACAACACGATAAATAAGCTCCTGTAATGAGTCCTGTTGAGGATTTATTGTACTGCGTTTGGGCACACTCAGGCGTGGGGCTGAATCGTCTCCGGGGCTGCGGCTCTGACAGCTGCGGTGACGACTCGCATCTCATCAGTAACGGTCTGCTGAAGACGGAGCCAATCATCACTGACTCATGACCTCCGCCGCCTATCAGCAGGTCCAGCACCGAGACGGACAAAAGCCCGGGTGTGGTGACCGACGCAGAGATAGTCGACCGCTGCTGGTTGTAAACAAACACAATGGAGTCGCCGCAACCTTCCTGCGCCTCCGTCTTATCGTTTACCTCCAGTCTTAGTCCGATTTGCAGCCATTTACACAAAATTTAAATGCCTGGGAAGTAAAAAAATAAAATAAAATAAACCCTGAGATTCTCTTTGTCTTCTTTCTGCACTCACCCAGTGTGCTGAGAAATACACTCCCACATAGTGGCCCTCCAGAGAGCTGCTGTCTGTCGTCTGCCTGTTGTTCCTGAGCAGAGGCCCTGCCACCACCTCCGCAAACGGCTTCGGCCCCCAGGGGAACTCCAGGCCTGAGCAGGGCAGGAGAGGGGGGCGATTAGGGGAGGGGGTAACAGAGAGGAGAAACACGGGAAGAGATGACTGATGCGCTGCACAGCTAGTGTCAGGATGCTAACATGCAGAAAATATTTTCCATTCTTTTGACGAGGGGTTCTGTGGAAAAATTCTGAGCAGTCAATATGTTACATGCTGTAGATACAGTGGTTTGCAAAAGTATTCATACCCCTTGAACTTTTCCATATTTTGTCACATTACAACCACAAACATAAATATATTTCACTGGAATTTAATGTGAAAGACCAACACAAAGTGGTATACAATTGTGAAGTGGAAGCAAAATTTTACATGAATCAAAACATTTTTTACAAATAAAAAACTGAAAAGTGCGATGTGCAAAATTATTCAGCCCCCCTGAGTCAATACTTTGTGGAGCCACCTTTTGCTGCAATTACAGCTGCAAGTCTTTTCGGGTATGTCTCCACCAGCTTTGCACATCTAGTGACTGCAATTCTTGCCCATTCCTCCTTGCAAAACAGCTCAAGCTCAGTCAGATTGGATGGAGAGCGTTTGTGAACAGCAGTTTTGAGATCTTGCCACAAATTCTCAATTGGGTTTAGGTCTGGACTTTGACTGGGCCATTCTAACACATGAATATTCTTTTTTTTAAACCACTCCATTGTAGCTTTGGCTTTATGTTTAGGGTCGTTGTCCTGCTGGAAGGTGAACCTCCGCCCCAGTCTCAAATCTTTTGCTGACTCCAACAGGTTTTCTTCCAAGATTGCCCTGTATTTGGCTCCATCCATCTTCCCATCAACTTTGACCAACTTCCCGGTCCCTGCTGAAGAGAAGCACCCCCAGAGCATGATGCTGCCACCACCATATTTGACAGTGGGGATGGTGTTTTCAGAGTGATGTGCAGTGTTCTTTCTCCGCCACACATAGCGTTTTGCATTGTGGCCAAAAAGTTCAATTTTGGTCTCGTCTGACCAAAGCACCTTCTTCCACATGTTTGCTGTGTCCTCAACATGGCTTCTGGCAAACTGCAAACGGGACTTCTTATGGTTTTCTTTTAACAATGGCTTTCTCCTTGCCACTCTTCCATAAAGACCACATTTGTGTAGTGCACGACTAATTGTTGTCCTGTGGACAGTTTCCCCCACCTGAGCTGTGGCTCTCTGCATTTCATCCAGAGTCACCATGGGCCTCTTGGCTGCCTCTCTGATCAGTGATCTCCTTGTTCGGCCTGTAAGTTTAGGTGGACGGCCTTGTCTTGGCAGGTTTACTGTGGTGCCATACTCTTTCCATTTCTGGATGATGGATTGAACAGTGCTCCGTGAGATGTTCAAAGCTTGGGAAATCTTTTTATAACCTAAGCCTGCTTTAAACTTCTCCAAAACCATATTCCTAACCTGTCTGGTGTGTTCTTTGGACTTCATGATGCTGTTTGCTCCCCAATATTCTCTTAACCAACATCTGAGGCCGTCACGGAGCAGCTGTATTTGTACTGAGATTAGATTACACACAGGTGGACCCTTTTGAGTCATTAGCAGTCATCAGGCAACTTCTGAATGCAATTGGTTGCACTCAGGGAAAAGGGGGCTGAATACTTTTGCACGTCGCACTTTTCAGTTTTTTATTTGTAAAAAATGTTTTGATTCATGTAAAATTTTGCTTCCACTTCACAATTGTATACCACTTTGTGTTGGTCTTTCACATTAAATTCCAGTGAAATATATTTATGTTTGTGGTTGTAATGTGACAAAATATGGAAAAGTTCAAGGGGTATGAATACTTTTGCAAACCACTGTAGACGGACAGTTTGCGTTTAATTTTGACTGGATTGATGAGCTAACAGCTAGTCTGAAAGTGGATAGTTTTTGATTTTAAAATAGCTAAAATCTCAGAAACATCACAGTGGTTTATGCTACTGCTATAAACCTTTAGACAACTGTTAATTTTGAGTTATTCCAGCAGAAATATTACAATATTCTGGTCAGAAGTACTGGAAGTGGAGCAGATGCTGTTTGCACTCGCAAATAACGATAAGATTCTTCATAAATATCCATGAAATCTAAAATTCACAGCAACTTAAAAGGTGTAAAAAATTGTATTTGCTTAAATAGATATAATATGTGAAAAACGAAACACCTTCATATAATGTTTGGCATCACTGCAAAGTTTGCCTTTTTTAAATGACCGTTTGGACCTCCTGATGACATCACTCTAAACCAGGGCTATTTAAATAAATTGCTCAGGGTAGAATGATAACGTTTGAGGAAACACTGCATTGTATAAAAATAAAGTATTTTTAACATATATTTTGTTGCATTGAATTATAAATTTAAAATTTCATTTGATTTAAAATTTATTTTTCTATTAAAATAAGTAGAAAAATCTTTTGGCAATGAGGCAGGCCGGACAGAAGTCACCTGCGGGCTGGATGTGGCCCACGGGCCACCAGTTCAATAGCCCTGCTCTAGACCAATAAAATTAGAGTTTTTAAACCAAACTATTTGTTGCCAAACCAGCTGATAAATCACCAAATTTTAAGAAGCTTTTGAAGCTTTTCAGATGAAGATTTTGAAAATAATAATGATAGTTTAGAAATATGGTTCATTTTGCCAACATTATGTTCAAGATTGGAGCCACTCAGGTTAGCCAGAGCTTATCTGTTCAGTCAAAATTGAAATATTTCTACAAAGATAGACAATTAAAGCACTATCTACATCAGGTAAGACATTCATTCATCTTGTGTAACGGTTAGTTTGAACCTATTAGTTTGTAATTTTAATATGTAACATTTATTTATATACATTAAATAGGTCAAGTCGTCTTAAAATTCTGAAGACATTAGGTTGAAACTTTAAAGTAAGTCGTGATAATAAGGAACAAATAGTAAAAAAAGAAGTTGTTTGTGATATGTGCTTTTAAAAACACTAAAAGCTCTGAACAGAAAAATAAATCTGTTTTATTGAACACTAAACCTCTCCAGGAGATGAGGGCTGCCAGTAATGTCTCCCTCCTGCTCTCGTTCACACTTTTCATTTCCTTCTCAAGGTGTTTTCATTGTTCCAGCCTCAGATGCATTTTGGTGCGGCCGAATTAAAAAGCCTGGAGGGGGTTAATAATAAATAAAACCTGGCATGGCCGATCATAATGGCCTCTTTATGTCAGCGCGGTAATCTAGTGCTTCATTAGGCAGGGAAGACATGTCTGCGCTGCACTGGTGCACCCTTCCTTTGTTGTCCTGATTGTAAAAGTGCACTCCATCTTTATGCTGCAGGCCTTTCACTCAGACTGAAAGAGAGAGAGAGAGAGAGAGAGAGAGAGAGAGAGAGAGAGAGAGAGAGAGAGAGAGAGAGAGAGAGAGAGAGAGAGACAGGGGCTCTGAATTGCTCACTCGCCCCCCTCCTAGTTTCAACCTGCAGGCGGCAAACTTTTAACTGGCCTTTTTCCTTCCCTCAGCTGCTGGAGATAAATTATATTCACTGACAAATACAGAAACCAGAAACCATTCACACAATGATGTTAAAACTTATCACATCTAGTTTGTAAAACAGTAGAATCTGCCTTTTTCTCTTTCTCACATCGCTTTTTTTTTAAAGCTGACCAAACTGGGTATTAAGACAAGTTGATGATTTTCTCAGCCACGTTACAGGACAGGAATTCAAGAGGATTCGTGTTTTTTCTTCATCTCCACTTCAAATGGTAAAAATTGTAGGTCTGTCAGAGAAAGGACTGAGGCGTGGACGCTACAATGATCACAGAGCCCATAATTATAGTAGCATCAACTCAAACAAAACACACAAGGTGTGTGAAAAGATATAAATCTTGAGCTGCTGTACTTATATTTTGATTTACTTTCTCTTCTTTGTCTTACTCATTTGCTTTATCATTGTTAATTTGCATTTAAATCAATGCTTAACTATTTTACGGGTTAAGCTTTCAAAGCTCAAATAAAATGTATGAGTGGATCAGACATGTGAGGATGAAGGCCTGCAGTCTGGCTAAAAGGTCTGTTCCAGTGTCTGTTTGTGGTTTTCTGTTGAAATAATCCTCAGTGCCCCAAAAACACAATAAAACTTTATTAGGAAAACAGACACAACAGAGCAGTAAAGACATTTTAAAACATTACGTCATCCCCGTCCCAGAGACGGAACACATAGAGAAACAAGAAGGTCGTAGTCGCATCAGAGTTTCCATCATCTTCCTCCAGCTTCTTGGTTTGTTCTCCACTTCAGTTTATGGGAACCAGCTCCAAACTGAGATTTGGGATCTTTTTTTTTTTAAATGTTATTTACCTTTATGCATTTTAACACACTGTCTCTAAATTAATTTTCTGGACGTTTAACTCTTAATTTCCTTACATTAATCAGCAAAAAGTTGTTATTTAAATTAAATGTTTTTTTTGGCTTTTGACTGCAGTTAATACTCATAAATATACATTTCCTCACAACCATAGAGCTAAATAACATTAGACTGAGTCCCATCTATCTCGTCTACCGTTAGCATCTGTAACAACATGGAGGAACAAAATGGTGACCAAACAGGGCGTCGGCTCACAGCCAACAGCAGCTGTTTGATTAACAAGCCCAACTGGATCTGTCATAAATTATCTGTAATTTTTTTTAGAATAAATTATCATAATTGTTATTATGTTAATTATTCAACAGTCATGTAAAACAGCAGATACTACAAGAAAAATACATAATTTATATGTAATGATCTAAACCAGACCTGAAGTAGTTAGTTGGAAAATGATTACTTCAACAAGTAATAATGTATATTTATTATTTCTTACTGTCATGAATATTAATAAGAAATGTTAACCAGTCGACACTTAGAAAATTTTCTCTGTATACCTGGTTATGAATGAAACTCTCAACATAGCTAAACATCTTCTCAACAGGTCAGATTTGTCTAACAGAAATTTATAAATAGTCTAATATATAACATTATAATACACTGTGTAAATATTACATACATTAGAGGCTAAATCAGCTGTAATATTTTATAGTTTGTGTTAAATTGTAGCAAGATTCAGTAGAGTGCTTTATGGTGCGTTCACACCGAACGCGATTTCAGCGTCAGGAGCAGCAGGTTTACATACAAAGTCTATGGTGGACGCGCTTCAAGCAACGTCGGGAA